CTTAAGAGCAAAGGGATTCTTTTGTAAAGGTCTCTTCTGTAAAGGAAGAGACCAAATGCTTAGCTTTAATGAAAGGTTTCCCTGTGAAATCTGGTCACTCTGGTTTCCTCTGCTTTTGGGTCAAGAACAGAACCATGCAATAAAACAGGGGGCAGATATGACACTTCACAGAGATTCTCTACTTGAGATAGCTAGGCTGCTTTAGCATTATACCAGAAGTAGCAGATCTGCATGCCCATTCCTTTACTGCCACAGATCTGAACCTTCCCATTCATAAATAAGGTAGAATCATAGCAGAGGGGAATCTTGTAGGCCATCTAATCTAACCCATGGCCCATCTCAGAAAATCTCTATAGTTTGTGGAAATCCCACTGTATGGTTGTCCCAATGTCCAGTTGTCCAGCCTCTGCCTGAGGAACTCAAGTGAGGAGGAATTCACTAAAGCCTAGACCATTGTTTCCATAGTCAAACTGTTCTTACTGATAAGGGATTTTTCATAATATTTCTACACATGTTTTCTGCACAAAAATATCACATGTGAATATTGTGCAGAATATTCAAGGTGAAAATAATCTTTAATATCTGCATTAAGAAAAAAAAAGTCCTAAAACTATGTGTTATTTCCTTCAAGAAGAAAATTAGCAAAGGATTGCACTCCTAATTTGGATAAATCATGGGCAGCATGACTTGTTAGAAATTATTATAATGCTTGGTCTGGAAGGCAGTAAGAAAAGAGGAAGCCTGCTTTACAGTTGCATTCATTCATGCAAAGCAGTCACAACTTTGAGCTTGCAAGACCCAAGCAAAGCAGTTGATGACTAGGGCTCTTGGAGGTCTGTAATTCAAATTGTCACCATAAACTGAAGTTGGCTGGACAGCAAGTAACAACAAAAGTCTGATACTATGTTGATTTTTAAAAATTAAATATTAGTGTGAATTATTAGTGGATTGTTTAATCTTGGTATATATTTACAGCTTTGAGACACAGACCATTGTATGATTGATTCATTAATCAATTTATTAAAGCTGTAACTGTTGTGGAGTTGTGACAATTAATTAAGCTGCAATTGTACCATTATCTGGAAATTTTGTTCATTTGTATTATGTGGCCCTTTTCTGGTTTTTTAAGTCACTTTGAGTACAAATAAATGTAATAGTGATGCTGATGAGGCTGACTGCAGACACAGTTGCTAAACTATAGATGCAGGATACCAACATTTGTAGAATCATAGGAAAGTTGTACTCATTGGCCATCTGCAGCCTGTTCAGTTGCTAATGGCACAGAAGATCTGAGTGGATAAAAGATGGTAGAGAAAGAGATGAGTAAGTTGCACAAATACCTTGGACTTCAAGTTGTCACCTTTGCATTTCATGCAAAGAATCTAAGAAACCCAAACAGTTGGTTTTCTAGCTACCAAACGATTTTGAAAGGAGTGCTTTGCATTTGTGTGTTTGTGCATATACAGGTGCATGAACATACCCATTCATACATGTGCATGCATGCACATATGTGGGCATGTACACATGCACATAAATGCACACACACACATTCTAGTCAACACTTTCTTTGTTCCACATATAATTTGTGTAATATGCAAACATGGCTGCCTGGATTTGGAAAACTAGAATATGGCAACTGAGGTGGTGGGAAGAAACCTGTAGTGCCTTGAAGGGTCAAGAGAAGAATTAGCAGACAGAAAGACGGAATAAACACTGAGATAGAGGTGAAGACCAGTGAGAAAGAAAAAGGTGTGCAGGATGGAGAGAATTAGCATTGGACTGTAGGAGCAAAAGAGGTTGCCAAATGAGTACAAGGATGGGAAGAGAGAGTAAAAAACAGCATAAGAAGAAGAAAAGAGTTGCTAGCAAGAGAGAGGAGAGCACTGGAACACAGGTGGAACTCTTGGTTGTTGTTTTTTAAAATAAAACTCAGGAAATGCAGGTACTTTTGCTAGTGATCTCTAAATGTATTACCCAACAAATTCTACCAGCATGATCAATGGTTAGGATTACAGAGAATATCTGATAGACACCAGCTGTTTACCCATGGAATTACTTCACGTGAATTGGAAACTATATGTTGAATGTAGCCAGAAACTGCATTAACCTTGTTGTGCAGTCTTATGCCTCTGTTGTCTCTTCTTCAACTTCTGACTGACTACAAATCTGGAGATTTTTTCATATGTATTTATGGCCAATCTAGATATGCCTCCTATCCCAGAGCAGAACTATCTGCCCCTGAGCATTAATTTTGTTTTGCCTCAATTCTGTGAAGGTCCTTTAAATTGTATTCTTGCCTTCTCAAGTCTATCCTTTGTTGATGTGTGCCTTCAAGTCATTTCTGACTTATGGTGACATGAAGGCAACCCTATCACAGGCTTTTCTTGGCAGAATGTGTTTAAAAGAAATTTGTCCTTGCCTTCCTCTGAGGCTGAGAAAATGTGCCCAGTAGGTTATTATGACTGAATGGGGATTTGAACCCTGGTCTCCAGAGTTATAGTCCAGCACTCAAATCACTCAACCATGCTGGCTCTCAGTCTATCCTTACCCTGAGCTACTGCTCCCAGTTTTGTGTCATCCACAAGTATGATATGGACTTCCCCCACCCCTTAAATTAAGTCATTCATAAAAAAAATATAAGAAATGCATGTCCAGGAGGACAGATGAAAGCCTCCTTCCAATTTGATGAGGAAGTATTGATAAGAAATCTATGATTTTTCCAACTAGCTCTGAATGACAGCATCATCAACTACCCTGTACTCAACAGGTTGTTAACCAAACTATTATGAGGTACTTTGTCAAATGCTCTGACAAAATAGCAATACCAATAGCAAGTACATTTCTATACGCTTCTTAGTGAACTAACACTCCCTAAGTGGTTTACAATGTGTAAGCCAATTGCCCCCAACAAGCTGGGTACCCATTTTACTAACCTATGAAAGGATGTTCTTATCTTTGGGACTTTCTTTGGTCATCTGGCAGAGCCTGAGCCTGATCATGTTGTTAAATGCATTTTATATAACTGAAACAATATTTTGTTTGGTAAGCATTTATGAACTAGAAATAAGCACATAACTTTCTTAATTTGTCAAAGATTAACTCATATATATGAGAAAATATGCTGATACTCTTTGAACAGTAGATTGCCTTAAAAAATACCCCCAATACCAAGTATGTCTCATCACAGGGTTCAACCTAGACAATGAAGAAATAGAAATAGTAAAAGAATTCTCATACCTGGGATCAAACATAGACAGAAATGGGGACTGCAGTCAGGAAATCAGAAGAAGACTAAGAATGGGGAGGGTGGCTATGAAAGACTAGAAAAGATTCTAAAATGCAAAGATAAACAACTCAGCACAAAAGTTAGAATCATACAAGCCATTGTATTCTCTATTAGCATGTATGGATGTGAGAGCTGGACAGTTAAGAAAAGTGATTGGAAGAAAATCAATGGATTTGAGAGAATGGGGTGCTGGAGAAGAGTGCTGAGGATCCCATGAACAGCCAAAAGGACAAACATGTGGGTCCTAGAGCAGATCAAACTGGAAACCTTCCTGGAAGAAGTCAAGATGACCAGAGACTGTCGTACTTTGGACACAGCATGAGAAGGGAGGGCTCTTTAGAAAAGACAATAATGCTGGGGAAGGTGGAGGGAAGTAGGAAGAGAGGAAGGCCACATGCCAGATGGATGGACTCTATGAAGCAGGACATGGGTATTAAGGGGTTGCAGGATTTAAGCAAAGCACTGGAGGAAAAATGGTCTTGGAGATGTCTCATCCATAGGGTCTCCATGAGTCGAGATTGACTTGAGGGCAGTTAACAACTAACTATTTATGTGGTTCAAATTGCATCTTTTGGAAAATGTTATGCAAGAAGAGGAAAGTTAAATAAGAAAAGAAACTCTGTCTTTAATAAAATTAACGTGACCACACCTCTGGATATTATTTAAAAATCTGGAAGTAGTTTGTAAAACATCCAGTGCAGTCAGTCTACAACTTTAATCATACTCTGATCAGATGGCCTCATCACATACATTTGAAAATGGTGACATTTTGGATGGCAGGATTTAAGATCCAATTTTTATTTTTATTTTTGTCAATGAATTCTATGAAGGAACCAGTATGGTTGACTCAATGGTCACTAATGATTTATTTCGTTCATCATACTAATGAAATTTAGTATGACCGAAGTTCACAACAATATTTATAACTGGATAGTGTTAGTCTATGCAATATTATGTGTTGCAACATATAAATGGGGTGAAAATAATACAAATATGTATATTTTCAAGCAACCATTGGCAAATGCTTTTAGCCAGCAAAACATTGTTTATGCAGAGTGCAGTATTAATGAACTTAGTCAATTTAAAAATGCTGCCAAGAAGGGCTATTTTTTAAAGAATTAGACACATGCACACACACACACACAGTTGCAGCCCCCTTTGCTCTTCCACAGTCTGCTGCTTTCTTCCCTCACCGTTGCAGTGTGTGAAAACTTTAAAAGAAGACAAGAAAGAGAGGAGAAAGAAGTCATTTGAGAACAAGGGAAACAAACTTGGCAGATCAAGAGATGCTTGTAACAAAGCAGTCAATTCCCTCCCCTTCTTATTTAAAAGCAAAAGCTGAAATGTTAGTAGGAACAAAGGGGAATCAGTTGCTGTAAAAAAGGTAGAAGTGCTGCTGAGGAGCGTAACTTTGCTCTTCAGTGGATGTTCTACAACCACTCCATGGCTTGGTAAGCAAACAACAAGATCAGACAATTCTTGCGCCAAGCAGGAGGTCCTATAGTATCTGCTCCTAGCTTCTTCCTACCTCCCTATGAGAATGGTTCCTTGTTTGTTGTTATGTACCTTCAAGTCCTTTTCGGATTTATGGTGACCTTAAGGCAAACCTATTACAGGGGGTTTCATGACAAGATTGGTTCAGAGGAGGTTTGTCTTTCCCTCCTTCTGAGGCTGAGAGACTGTGACTTGCCCAAGTTCACCTAGTGGGATTCCATGCCAGGCAGGAATTCGAACCCTGTTCTCCAGAGTCATAGTCCGACGATCAAACCACTGCACCGCTCTGGCTATCTGAGAATGGTTTACCTAGGGACTAAAAGAGGAGTACGGACAGGGAGAGGCCACTAGTTCAAGAAGTTCACAACTAGGATCGAATAATAGAAAAGAACAATGATATTAAAATCCTTCTGAGGTTGAGAGACTATGGACGTTTTCACACGGGTCTTTTTGAGGAGGCAATCCTACCTCCGTCCAGCCTCACTCCGGCTCCACTTCCAGGTTGTTCAGACGCGCGCGGCGGCAAACCCCTCCCCTTCCGGTGCCATCCCTGCGTCAGTCCGGCTTTTCACTCCGTGTGTTCAAACGCACAGAGCCCTAAGTCCGGCGTCACTCCGGCCGAACCAACGCTAACTCCGGCTTCAGCGGCGGAAAGGTAATTCCGGCTGTCCACCCGGAATTAGCCTGCCGCTGACGGAGCCATTCCAGAATCAGCGGCAGGAGCCGTTCCGGAATGGCTCCAGCCAGCTTTAGGGACCCCCATGTGAAAACGTCCTATGACTTGCCCAAGTTCACCTAATGGGATTCTATGGCCAGGCAGGGATTCGAACCCTGCTCTCCAGAGTCAAAGAACATTGTTGGGAATGAGATGTTAAAAAGAAGCAGCAAGATCAATACTATTAAACTGAGATTGTAAGAAAGGACTGTGTACAATTAAGAAAGTGGGGAGGAAGGAAGTTAGTGATTGAATGAGTAAAAGAAGAAAGAATAGAGATAAGGTGATAAGGATTTTTTTTTCTGAAGAAGGTAAAGTAAGTAGAGGAAGGTGAGTGTAAGTGTAGAAGGAGACGAGAAGAGAGAGAGGGATTGAAGTAAGAGCTGGAGATTGTGAGCGGAGAGACAAAGTGAAGGATAAAGTAGGAAGAATTTGAACTGGGATAGAGAAAGATATAGAAGGACAGAGAGGGAAAAGTAGAAAGAATGAATGGGGATAGAGGAGAAATGATGAAAGAAGAATGAAAGATGCTGAGATATTTAAGAAGGGGAAGAAGTTAAAGATTAGTGGATATGCTTAGTAATTTAGATTTTAGATTGAGAGGGTCATTAGATAAATTAAACTGACATTAACAAAGTAAATAAAGGAATGTGGTAGAGTATAGATTAGTAGAGTTGATTGGTGGTGGGAAAGTTTTAATATGTAGTTGAATGGTGTATGTATGATGTTTTCTTTATTGTTTAATAAAAATAACTTTAAAAAAGAAGTTCACAACTGATACACTTGCAAAAGTGGGCATGAATCCTTTCATCTACAGTCAGCTTTCCATTACTATAAAACTGGTACCAGGTCAGTTGTTGGGCAAGCAAACACCAGATCTCATGCTAAGAGCATTTGTTGCTATCTGTGTAAGAATATTTGACATTTATGCCAGCAGAATGCAATAGGCTAGTGAGCTGAGCTTGGGGATTTGTCATTGTTGTGTGCCTTCAAGTCATTTTGGACTTATGGTATCCCTAAGGTTTTCTTGGAAAATTTCTTCAGAGGAGGTTTGCCATTGACGTCATTTGAGTAAGTAATTATTCTGGATGTCTGCAGTAAGGTAAAAAGAAAGTAAACTAGTAAAAAATAGAAGACAAATCTTGGGCTTGGCTACAAAAGTCCCAAATCCTCTCCTCTGCGTTGTTCCAGTTCATATTACTTGTTATCAATGTATGGAACAATTGTCTGAATCTGAATTCTTATGAACACAAAGAATGGACCTTACAGCTTCTGATCTAAATAGAGTCCTTTACTCTGCATGCTAGCTTCCAAAACAACACACCAAGTAGTATTAGAAGCCTACTTCTTGTTAAATGAAAAGTGACAGGTGGCCCTGCCCCCTTTTGAAGGGGTACACTCCAAGTCCCACCTCCCTGGTTTTGGGGCTCCCTTTCATGGATTTTGGAGGTTCTACTCCTGTTCCCTGCTAGTGGTCGGAGGGGCAAATTCTGAGAAGGGCCACACTTGACCACAAAAACCACATTTTGCACAACAAACATGGACACCCTCTCGGGGGGATTTGGAGTCCAGGAAGGGGTCCCACAGATTCATGGGGCACCCTTAGGGAACCCACAGAATCCTCACAATCTAGGGGACACCAGGAGTGGAACTACCCCAAAAATCCCTCAAAGGTAATCCCAAAATATGTGCAAAAATGGTTACCCTTTCGGAAGAATTTGGGGTTCTGGAAGAGGTTCCACAGATCCATGGGAGGTTCCCAGGAAACCCCTAAAACCTCAGAACCTAGAGGAAAACAGGAGAAGAACACAAGAATTCCCTGAAAGAGAACTTCTGAAGAACTAAGAGCATTGGTGTCACTAAGGTTGGTGTCACCTGGTGCGGCAACTCATGGTGTCACTCCTCCGCTAAACTCCACCCATACCACATCATACAGAATCTTTAGTAACTCATAACTCACAAATTAAATTAAATTTTAATTTTAAAAAACCTGGGGCCTCTCCTTTTTCCTCTCACTGAGCCTCACCCCACTCACCCCATATCTTCAGTGTTTTAAAGAGACACAGGTGAATGCTACAGGCTGTTTCTGCCCAAAGACTGATATGTGGGGAGCAGTGCTGTCTCTCTCTCACACACACCCTTAGAGTGTCACCTGGTGTGGGCCACAATCTCTGCACCCCCCCCTATTGACACCACTTACTAAGAATGTATCTCAAAAAAGGGGACACTTTTTGTTTGATGAGAAATATACTCCAATACTACTCACACCATATGGTAGGGCCAGGCCAAGACATATTGCTGCCAAAGGCAATGGGCAAGATATTGCCTTTCTATGTTCCATATGCAAAAGATAAATAGGCTGGTTGTTGAACCAACTTCAGTGTTGATGCCAGTGTCCTCCACTGTACCTTAAGGCAGCAGACTAGTTCAATGATCTGTTCAAACAACAAAATTATAGCACTTTAACTGCAATGGCAACATCCTATGGAATCCTGGGATTGGCAGGTGAGGGGGGGAGTATTTAGACTTCTCAGCCAGAGAGGAATTCTAGTGCCTCATCAGACTACACGTCCCAGGATTCCATAGGATAGAACCTTGGTGGTTAATGTGTAATAATTATAATTGTATTGTCTGAAATGGGCTCTAGGATTGCAGAATGGGTCATATGGACAGATATACCTTCACTACTGCAAGAAAGAACAAGATTAAATTTTGAACCTATGATGAATAACCTCAAGGGAACAACCATTTTGCATAGGGAACAACTGAATAACTGAACCATACTAACAAGCTGTTTAGCTTCAGATAGTTAGTAGAATTCCACAAGTAGTAGTGGAATATTACTAGATTTCAATAGTAGAACAGTAATAGAATTCTGGGCACCAAATCAGTAAGGAACCCTGCTGTGCTGTGTCCAATGTATTTACAATGCATTTACTATCACTGGCCTAAATACTTTAAAGTCACCAGATCCTATCTGATCTTGGAAGCTAATCAGGGCCACTCTGGTTAGTACTTGGATGGGAGACTGCCAATGAATACTATAGGCTAGATTTCAGAGGAAGGAGCTGGCAAACCACCTCTGAGGATTCCTTGCCTATGAAATTCATGGGCTTGCCATAAATCGACAGGCGACTTGAAGGCTCATAAGCACCAAGACATCACTGGAAGCAAAAAGCAATCAGAGATTTTGAATTTAGCCCAACTGGATAAGCCCATTGGCTCTACAAATGAATTGGGCAGGAGCTTTTATGGCAACAGGCAATCATAGGAGCAAAGCTTGTATTGCTTGTGTGATGTTTGCTGTGATGGGAGACATGGTTGGATTTTTATTTTATTTTTTTAGAAGGAAGAGCCAAGCGCTGCCACTGTTTGTTTGATTCATTTGAATATTTGATAAGATTTCTTGCCTAGGTGACAAGGAACTAATTAAAATGGGAATGTGACAAGATCTTAGGAGAGAGGAAGTGAATGAGCACCGAAGAAACAGAGGCTGGTCTACCTGCACCTGCTTGCAATTAATTACTGCTCCTTTCATTAAACTAGACCTTGGTGGGGGGGTTTCACCCATTGTCTAGTTGTGTGGTTCCTGATATTTGGTTTTAAGTTAGTTTTATATATAAAAGCGAAAAACACACTAATCTTCATTAGGTAAGAATCTAAGCAGTTTTTTTTAAAAAAAAAGAATATGTTTGTTAGATCATAATTTGCCATTGAGGGTGCTTTTTAGGGAACTGAGCTGAGTCTCAGAGCAATCTGAACACAGAGAAATTGCTTTCATTAAAACGTTAAGCCTTTGATTACTGTTGTATCGCATAAAATCTGCTCCTATCATTTGGCAGCTGGCATTAGGAGGCACTGGTGGCACATTCCCTCCCCCATCATGGGTAAAAGTCCTGGCAATTGAGGAAGGAGGGCACAGTGTTAGAGGGCTTTTAATTTTATTTCTTTATTTTGCTCCCCCCTCTCCTCCCCCACCAATGAAAAACTAGCACAAAGTAGAAGCCAATTCTGCCTTGCAACCTAAATGAAAAAGCTTTTAGGCTTCGTGAAGTGCGGATATCGCTCCTCGACACATCGCCCAAGCCATATCCGAATCTATTAGACTTTAAACAGAGCCAGCGAACACAGCTGCTTCGCCTCTTGTTTTTCTATTACCTGCCTTTTAGCTCTCCAGTATAGCGGTGGAGAATCCCAGGCCAAAGTGATTTACAGGCTGTTATAGAAGGACAGGTCTGACACTGATTGAATCGCTTATCTTCCTTTTTGTGGCTGGCCTGATGACAGGCCTTCCCTCAGGTATCAATCAGCACATCAGTTCTTGCTGCCTAGGTGAAGGGGAGAGCTGTCGGGGTCACATTTTGACTGTCATATTCATCTAAACCACCAGTCCCTCTTTTTGCCACATACAGGCAAGAGGAGAACAGAGAACACGGCTGATCAGCTTCAGCAACTGTCGTTTTTCTTGGCATATTGTGGGTTCTAGCCAGTAGGATCTCCTTTCCAAAGACATTCATGCCTTCCAGTTTGCACTCAGTTAAGTCAAGGGGGAGAGAATGATAGAATCACAGAATCA